TCGGCACTTCGCCCCGCAGCGCGCCCGGCCAGCGCAGCCCTGTTGCACCGAGTCCGGGGTAGCCGCCCCCTCCCCGGCAGCGCGGGGCGGCCGCGGCCCCGCCGTGCCCCGCTCCCCGGCGGTGACGGTCCCCCCGCCTTTGTCGGGCGGGCGGCGGCGGCGGCCGGTCCGTCCGTCAGTCCGTCCGCGCCGGGCGCGTGGCTCCTTTGTGTAGAGCAGCTGCTCCTGAATGCGGAGGCAAAGCCTGTGGCTTGGCACTGAGCTTTTAAAAAACAACAGCCCTCCCTCCCTCCTTCCCTCTCCCCTGCCCTCCCTCCTTCCCTCCCCTCCCCTCCTCCCGCCGAGGTGGACGGGCATCCACCTGGGTCCGCTGCCCACCTCTCCTCTCATCCTCCTCTCTTCTCCTCCTTGTTTACCTGCACTTTTCCGCCGCCTCTTCCCCCGCTGTCCCCGCCGCCCCCCGGCCCTCTCTCGTCCCCGCTCTCGGGCAGGCTCGGCGCCCCGCAGCTCCGCTCCCTCGGCGGTTTGCCCGTGCCCCTAGCTCGGGGAAGGCACTTGAAGGTGGATCTATTAAACCTCCCGGCGGTCTCTCCAAGTGGACCAAATCTCCAGCATGGATGTAAGATTTTACCCGGCTGCGGCGGGCAGCGCGCTCCCCGGAGACCCCTCCAACCTGGACTTTGCCCAGTGTTTGGGTTACTACAACTACAACAAGGTGATTATTCCCGCGGGTGTTAATTCCTCGTGCTGCTACCCGGGCCGGTTGCCCGCGGACCGGAGTTGGGGCTCCGTCGGGGCGGGAAGGTCGGGGCTGGGGGATGCGCGGAGCCCGGGGCGGGAGCGCCCGCCGCTCTCCGCGGGGCCGGGGGATGCCCAGCCCCGCAAAGTTGTGCTCGGCGGGCCCGGGCGGCTCCTCCTGCCGCGGGGCTCGCCCTGGGGAACCTGCCCTCGGGCCGGTGCTCGGGCGGTTCAGAGGGGTGCGAGCGGCAGACAGCCGGGAAGAGCTCGGGGAGGCGATCCTGCTCCCCACGGCCGGCGAACAAAGGCGCGTCCCGAGCGCGCAGCGTTCGCGGTGGGGTCGGGACTTGCCGAACTTTCCCCGGGCGGGAGCCCCGCGGCTCCCGGCGCGTCGGGCGGAGCGCGGTGGGCTCGGACGGCCCTGCGAGGAGAGCACGGAGCCTCCCTCTGCTCCGTTCTCTCGGCTCAGCGCGGCTCTGTCATGGCCAGTTCCTAACTAGAGGATTATCCAAACGGGAGGATTATCTAAAAGTGCATCAGCTGCTGGTACAGGAGGGTAACTAACGCTCCGCTTTGGCGAGGGCTGTCACAGAAGTTGCAGTACCACTTCTGTCTATTCACACCTCTGCGGCATGTGCAGTGTTTGGAGTAAACCTTACAGTCAGAAGCAGTAGTCATTTCCCAGTGTCTTACCTTCATTTACAGAAATATGTTTTAATAATACGGGGATGATTTACCACAAATTACCCAAAGTTGAGAATGACACTGTGACTCACGCTATTTTGAAAAAGACTTAGCTGTTTGCACTGTGATGTGTCAATAGCACATTGAGCTATTAGCACTGGGCCCTCACACATGCACATAAAGATCCCTTTCACGCTGTGTTTTTCCTGGTGCTATGTTTGTCCAACCTCTGGGGCCTTTTGTGAGGCACTGTATGAGATGCTGGGGAAAAGAAGGGTGCTGCATGAAGCCTGAACTTACGTTAAATCCTTTTTTTTTTTTTTTCAAAAATCCTTTCCAAACGAAGAGATAAACTTTGCTGAAATACAAACCTCACTTTCAGAGAGAGAAGTAGCGTGTGTTCAAACAGATTCAGTAGCTGGGGAAAACTTTATCCTAGAGAAATCGCGCGTGGGTGGATGTCGTGGGTGGACTGCAGTGTCGCTCTGCAGGCCGATGTCCCTCGGGGCCGCTGAAGTTTGGCCGGCGGGGCGGCTGTCCGGCCCGGGTCCGGCTGTCCGGCCCGTGTCGGGCTGTCCGGCCCGTGTCCGGCTGTCCGGCCCGTGTCCGGCTGTCCGGCTGTCCGGCCCGTGTCCGGCTGTCCGGCCCGTGTCGGGCTGTCCAGCCCGTGTCCGGCTGTCCGGCCCGTGTCGGGCTGTCCAGCCCGTGTCCGGCTGTCCGGCCCGTGTCCGGCTGTCCGGCCCGGGTCCAGCTGGCCGCGGGGCGCGCAGGGCCCGCGCATGCGCGCGCGGGGCTTTGTTAGCGCGGAGCGGAGCGCGCCGGGCGTGAGGTGAAGATGAAATGTCAGCCCCGGCTCTGAGGGCTGCTGAGGACTCCGGGAGCTCGAAAATGCCTCGTAAATGTCCGCTGTTGGTTGATAAGCCGGCTAATTTTGGAAACTTGCAGCGCTCACTGGCAGCCGGCGTGTTTACTGTAAATTTCACTTGTTCTGTGACTTTCCTGTGTTGTGCACGGCGTGCGCTTAATTCAAGCTCAGGTACAGGTTACTCTGTAGGCTCTTTCTAAATTTCTTTGTACGTCCAAAATTTTTAATATCTTCTGAATACCGGTAGTTTCTCGTGTCCATTAACTTGCTGCTAGTGCACAGTTACATATAACCTTTTAACTGTATTTCCCATCGTTGTACAATGAGAACAGAGTGTGCATTCAGAAAAAGTCAAAAGTAACTAACTTTTGGCCTATTCAGAAACACATTTCACTTGCTGCGCTCCTGAACGTAATTTTGGCAAGTACCTTGTAGGCCAGGCTTCCAGTCTGCAGCAGAAAATATTTTAATTAACAGAGTACAGCTCATGATGCTTGTGTCTTATAATAGATATCTTTGTATGCAAAAGGCCTGATCTGGGGCAGGCTGACACACAGGAATTGTGTTGCTGTTGCTGTGAGCTCTTCATTGGCTCAGCTGGCAAAACAGCAACGTGGTGTACAGGTGTTTCAAGGACATAAGAAGAATTTGTGAATGAGTTCCTAGAAAGGATGGGCCTAACTGTGTTAATCTGATCTCATTTTCTGCATTGTTTGTAATCTGTAGTTATAAGAGTCATTGTAAATTTGTGGGGTGTTTAATTATTCTGATAAAGAGAGTACATCTATTTTGATATCTTGCCTCCCTGCTTTGCTTTCCTTGTCTTCTGTCCTCTTCCCTGTGTTTCTAAGGAAAATAAATGATTGTTCTGTTAGCTACTGAGATGACCAGAAGGCACTGAAAAAAAGGGCTGAAATATTTACTCTGCTGAAGTAAATGTGAGAACTGTTATTGATTTCACTAGGGACAGTATTTCACCTCAAGTCTTTCTGAAACTCATTTGAGCGTCCTGCCCACTCATCCATGCCTGCTTCATTGTTAGGAGCTGAATCCGTGTTCTCCTTGTGACAGTGACATTGCCTGTGACAACTGCCGGGAAGCAGCGTGATGGCAAGAGTAAACAGACTACGTGGTTGTACATATGTGCAAAAGCAGAATTATTTATGTGAAAATATTCTCAAGATCATTAAGACATAGAGTTGATGGCATATGGCCCGCCTGTGGAAAATTGTATTTTGCATGATAGTGTCTAAAAATATCAAATTTAAAGCCTTTTAGTGCAAATACATTGCACCCTGTGAGACAATGCTGCCTTCCACCTGCATGCTTTAAACAGAATTTCCCAGAACTGCAGGGTTTTTGCCCTTCAGTGGGTGCAGCACTGGCAGGAATGCGGCAGACTGACCCATGAACCCCCAGGCAGGACTTGGGATCTCAGGGTGCCCTGTGAGGAAGGGTCAGAGGTGGGAGGGGAGCTGCATCCTGAGCCCTGGGTTTGGAACCTGGGATGATGAGGAGCTGTGCTGGCCCTGACCTGCAGGTAGCCTTTGGCTGGATTCCATCCCAGCTGCTTTCTAAGTGCAATGATGTGCTTTTGAAATTGGTGCTGAGGACTGGATAAGACCTAAGGGTGAGGGATGTCATCTTGGGGTGTTTTGGAGGAGGGTTATTGTTGAGTACATGACAGGTGTTTGAAATGGACTGATGCACATACACATCCCTGCCACCACAGCAGTTTCTAGGAGATTCTTTGGGGCTGCCTTTGGTGAGGTGGTGCAACATGGCATGCACATGTGGAGGGTAAAAGAGGAAACAGGGGCACAGAGTGCAGTGATTTGTCCAAGGTTACACAGTCGGTCACTGACATAATCAGGGCCACAACCAAGGTATTCTGAGATTCAGTCCAGTGGTTTATGCTGAATCTCATTTACTCTAATAGGATTACTTACATGTTTAAAGTAAAGCATGTGCTTAAGTGCTTTGCTGGATCAGGGCCATATTTGATAAGTTTTCAGCCCTGATGTGAGAGTACATTACTTGACCCTGCATGTGTGTGCCTGGTGGTGGCTCGGGATAACAGCGATCCACTTCTGCTTCATGGAATTGCACAAGTGAAACCATGGTTTGCCTGCTTCTAGAAGAATCCTGCTGCAGTATACTAAAAAAAAAAATCACCAAAAAGGAGCTATAAAAATTACAGAAAGTTGAAAGAGACCAGCTGTTGTAAAACATTCTGCTTCTGTTTTGAGCCCTTTTATGGTTCTGCAGATGGAGAATGATTTTGGACATTCAGTACAGTTGAGTAGCTTTTTCTAAACAAACTTTTTCACTTATTGAGTAAATTATATGTCTTGTACTAAAAATATTTAGGGAACTAGTATTCATCCTGGCATACACATGTGGGGGTTTTTTTAGTTTTTGTTTTTTTTTTTTTTTTTTTTTTTTTTTTTTTTTTTTTTAAAGAAGCTGTAATTCTTATAATGCCATTTGGAAAAAGTGAAAACTCCAAAACCTAAATACAGTGCTCAGTGCTTGAGTTATCATATTAAATTCCAGAATCCTTACTTCATTATTTAGCTGCCTGCATTTTATAACGTTTATCTCTACTACACAGATTGTCCTTGAAGGATACAAATTTCAAACATACATACCTTAATTTAGGCACACATACGAGATT